TTTTCATAGTGGTCTGTTTCATTCTGTTTGCTAACTCTTTAACTACTTTAAATCTATTTCAGGTTTGTGTTATAACCCAGTTTCTGTCATTTCTAACTGCAGGGGAGGAGGGACAGGAACTTGTGCGTACCTTCCTACACATTGAGGGAAGAGTCCAATGTCTTATTACTCTGTGTTGGTACTAGGGATGTAAACTCATTAAAAAAGTTAACCAGTGAAATGGTATAATTTCAATTGCTTAACTGGTTAACCATGGAGTACTGGGATCCTGTATTGGGGGCTTCTCCAGGTTGGAGTCTCTGTGACTGGGGTCCTGTCAGCCATCTTGCCACAGATGGGGGGTGCCTCCAGGCTTGCCGGGAAGGCTGCTCTGGTCTGCCTAACATGCTGTAGACAGGGGGGAGGCGATGCTCCAATCCAGCCAGGGGCTGCTTCTTGGGTCCAGCCAGGCCTGCTGTGCCACAGCCTGGGGCTTCTCCAGCTAGGCTGGGCCCCGCCCTCTGGCTAATCGGTTACTGGGTAAGCATGCCAATAAGGCTAATGCTTACCAGATAACAGATTAAGCTTTTACATCCCTAGCTGATACTCCAAGAGGAGTGGACATCTGGGTGCTGTGGCAAGTCCCTTAAGATGAGTCTTCCAAGAGCTGGTCTCAGTATCTATATTGTTCTGCAGTTCGGTTTGGCTCTGCCCGTGTTTTGTTGGAGGCATCGTAAGAGCCTGGCTCAGCAAGACAGATTTAAGAGAACCCCCAGGATGGCAGAAAAGGTGGGCTTAGTGGTATCTTGAGCACATCGTGTGGTATCCCAAGGGGCTATCCTGTCACACTAATCTTCTAATAAAGGCCAATGCCAGATGTTTTCAAGGGATTGAATAATAACGGGCGATCATCAAGTAATTCATCTCCTGTGGTCCAGTCCCAAAGACCGTTTCTCATTTAAACAGACAAGACCAACAAAAAATGGAAGTGAAGTATTTTTATTATTCCCATTTTATGCAGTTGAACACATTACAAAGAAATTTAAGGGCTTTGGGGTCAGCACAGGTCAGCTGCCTCTAAAGCAAATGATCTCTGCAGGCACGCATCACAGCAGTCTCACATATCTGTCGCTATGGGACTTGCTGCCTAAGGTGTCTTTTTACCCTTGTCCACGAGCTCAGGTATAGAACAAGGGGAAACTCTCTCCGAACTTTGCAGTAAGTTGGTCTCCTTAAGGCTGTGTCTAGACCACATGCCTCTGTCGGCAGAGGCATGTAGATAAGACAGATAGGCAAAGGCAAATGAAGCCGCGATTTAAATGATCGCGGCTTCATTTAAATTTACATGGCTGCCTCGCTGATCCGACAAACAGCTGATCAGCTGTTTGTCGGCTCGCGCGCTAGTCTGGACGCTCCCCTGCCGACATCAAAGCCCTTTGTCGGCAGCCCCGTTATTCCTCGTGGGATGAGGTTTACCAGGGCTGCCGACCTGATCAGTTGTTTGTCAGCTCAGCGAGGCAGCCATGTAAATGTAAATGAAGCCGCGATCATTTAAATCGCGGCTTCCTTTGCCTTTGCTGAACAAACAAATCTACATGCCTCTGCCAACAGAAGCATGTAGTTTAGACGTACCCTAAGAGTCCCCCTTGTGGCAGGGTAAGATAAAATTCCTCCATTCAGAACAATATTGTTCAGAATCAGCAGCGCAATCATCCACCTTCTGATATTAAGGTTTCACATAGCTGAGCCAGTTCCTGGGGAATAATAAACGTTCCTGTGTATACAGCCAGAAGAATAATCAGAGCGATTCAAGTTCTTTTTCCATGTGCCTTTCTGTATTTAAAACCCATTTTCTCCCCCAGAAGCACTCATTACTTTCCCTGTATTTTGTAAGGGGCTGCAGAGCGGGCAGTCACATTTTCTGTATGTTTAGGTTAAAAGGTATTAAGTAAAATCCAAATATCCAGAACCACATTTCAGAAAATCAATATTGTGAAGAACACAGTATATTAAACGATTGGAAAGAAGGAAACCTGTGCTATTACAAGATGACAGCAAAACAAAGTGGTGTTTTTTGTTTTTCTGCTGAATTCAGTTCTTCTTTATCATAGAGGTTCCTAAAGCTCAGCTAAAAATGGGGCCTTTCTGTGCAGAACACTTAGGTTTATTTGCAGCAGACAAGACCTGAGAAATTATACAAACAAGCTCGCCTCTGACAAATTGATAGTCCTCAAGAAATTAGACTGTGATTTTTAAAATGTTTTTCTCTGCTAACCATGTAGCAAAGCATTTTTATTTACAGACAGACTTACAGTGACTAAGTACCTACTAAAGACTGCTATATTCGTTCAGGTAATGAAGCAAGCATAACTCTGCAAATATCTACTGAATATAGAGAATCATAAGCATCAGTTTTGTTTAAACATAGGAGAGAAGATTTCCAACCTCTGAATTTCTTTACTTGGGGGGAGAGAGGAGGGATGAACTGATTTGGTAAGCAATATTATCTCCTGCTGCCCACACTGCCTAATTAACATTGTTAGAGATCCTTGTGCTATCGTAGACAATGGTGGATGATGGAGTAGGTTTTCCTTAAAATCTAACAGCCTGGTATGGTGCTAAGAAGTAATGTGATATTAAAAGTGCTGTAGGGTCCCAGCTACTTTTGGTCCCTGTCATTCCAAGCCCTTGGCATGAAAATTGAAGAGCCCTTGTGTTCTGATTTAATTCCAGCATGGGTTTTCAGGCCTGACACCTGTGAAGTCAATGGCATTTTTGCCTTTGACTTCAATGGAGCCAGGTTTTCACCCTGTGCCCCTAAATTCCTTGTTCCTCTAGAATGTGGTGGGGAGAGAAAGAAGATAAAAAAAAGTTTTGTAGCCAAGTTGTATGTCTATATTTTTATATCAAAGACAGTTGTTTGAAATCTCAGTTACCCAAGGCTTACATTTTCCAAGTCTCATCTTTTGGGTGCCTGGTTTGAGTTGCCTTAAAGAGATGAAGTTTGTCCTAACAGCTGAGTTCTGACCCTACCCCCAATCAGGCCCATTTACAGTGTTTCAAATTGGGCATCCAAACTCTGAGGTACCCATCATCAATATTCACTTTTTAAAAATGTAGGTCAGTTGCATCAGCTGCTTCCCCCTGCAGAGCTAAATCCAGACAGTAGCCTTTCACATCAGAGCCCCAGAGGTTAATGCTTTATTTCCATTAAGCCTTAAATGGATCATCCTCCATTTTGCATCCCAAACCAAAGAGCAGTGCAGAGGCCAATGCTGAGGAGCAAATGTACTGTTTCTTCTCCCAGCACCATCTGGAAGGTCACAGGTCAGCAGGAGTGGGAAGGTGGCCAAGAGTGTTTGCATCAGGCCAGTTGTCTTGAGAGACCTGGGAGGAGCATGCCATTTGGGGGCCATAGGGAGGTAAGAGCTGGGATGTGAGCATATGGAACAGCTTCCCCATATTGGATATTGACTCAAACCGAGGTAGAACAGCTTGTTAGTGGGAGATGTATGGGAGCAACTGTGTCAGCCGAGGACAATGCAAAATGGCCATCAATGATACGCAACATAGAATTGAACTCTGACCATGTTTCCTGCGTAAGTACTTCTAACAGAAATAGGCTAAGTGGGGACCATGGTTACTAGTCTTCAGTTATCTCTAACACTGTTGGAGGCTTCCTAAGGAGACACTTGAGAATGTAACTGTTTGTACTTTCGAATCCAGTGTATCTGTGACTTTTTTAGTCACCGATGGATTATCCTGTTAGTCTTTTAGCCAAGCATCTGATTGCTATAGACCCACAAGTGCTACAGATTTTTCAGCGGGGTAGCCAAGTTAGTCTGTAACATAAAACAACAAATAGTCTGGTAGCACTTTAAAGATAACAAAACATGTAGATGGGATCATGAGCTGTTGGAGGTCCAGAACCAAGAATAAACAAGGGAATTCTTGGTTCTGGACCTCTAACACTCCAGTCATCTGAAGAAGTGGGCTGTGCCCACGAAAGTCTGGTAGCACTGTAAAGACTAAAAAAGCATGTAGATGGTACCATGAGCTATTTGTTGTTACGTTTTTTTAAGTGCTACGGATGGTAGTCTAAGCATCTGCTTCTCTCTGGGACCTTGTGATGGACCTCAGTTAGGGGCTGGCTGCTTGAATTGAGGGAAGAAAATAGCCCATCCTTCAGAATCTGACCTATGTTCCAAAAAAGATGAAGATCTGCTGATGGGAGAGGCCGGGAGCCTAGATCAAAGAATTAGATTTGTTTTGTTTGGTTTGTACTTTTTGTTACACCAGAAGAGGGGGGAGGCTTTTAAATCTGTCTGCAGGGCTAAACTAAGAGGGAAGTGAGGTAGACTACTCAGCTGGGCAGCATGAGGCAAGATGATGGGGTTAGACACATGGATTCATGAAGCAGTGAAAAATGAAGCACTTGGAAGATATGGAAAATGCTTCTAGAAGAAGGTCTTCACACACAGCTCTCCAAAAAGGGCAGAGTTGATCTACTCCTATTGTGTGCAGGTAGAAATAAGTAGACATTTACATTTATATAGCAACGTTCATTTTGAATGACCCAGAATCAGTTCTTCAGAATAATCTAGGCTGTGCACAGCGCGTGATGAAATACAGCCCCCCTAGAGCGAAAGCCGTGGCAGAGCTCTCTTTCCTCTCAGGATACCGGTGTCAGCATCTTTCCATTTCTGCCTCTACCCAGAATAGATGGGGTCTCAAAGTTAAAAATCTCATTGCACCAGTCCCCTCCTAGCATAAACTGCACATTCAATGTATCGGTCTTGGAAGGATGAAAGTCCCAATCCGCTCCATTGAGATCTGTGGTTCCAGGGAGCGCTCCTTTAGCCCTCGGTAACTTTGCCCCCAGCAGTGAGTCACTTGCATTTTCATTCCATAGAGCTGAATGGAGTCCCAAGTGACTATCTGCAAAAGGAGCCTTTTATTGCTTTTTTTAAAACTTGCGCGCTGAAATCATTTTTGTATTGGATTAACGGGGCTGTACATACCTTTATCTCCAGACATGTATGCAGTGCACATCTGCAGTTGCTGTCAACTGTTGGCTTCCCTGTATTTCTTCAAGCCAAGGCTATCTGTGGCTCACGGTTCGTTTCAACAGGTGGATTCACCCTTTCAAATGAAGATGGTGTGCTTGGAGCTGCCCTTCTGAAGAGGTCTTTGGCAATGGTCTGTTTGCAAAGGAAAGCTAGTCTGCGGAGTTAAATACAAGTGACAGTGCCGGCCTTCTGCTCAGTCACATGAGGTATTTACCATCCGTGAGCCCTCTAATTGCAGTACTCAGAGAGCTGCTGAAATGGTGTTTCTTGTTTTGCAGCTGTTAGCAAGGAGAACTTTACACTTCCTCCTCCCACAGTTTTCTGCCTTTCAGCAAAAGAAAAATGCAGCCCATCAAGACTCCTCTTCTTTGTAAATGTGCTCTGGGTGTTTAAAAATGAATGGCAGTTTCCACATCAGATTTTGCAATTTTCTGAGTTATTACAATCAGGTTAAAAGCATCAGGAATCCCACATCTCCTCACTCACCAGTTCTATGACAGTATAACTCCACTGATATCAATGAAGGTGTCCATAGAAGTAAGGAAGTGAACGGTCCCCATCTTTCTCTTTGGAGAGAGAGATTTGCAGAATGGGATTCAACATGCTGGTTACCGTTAAAGATAACATTTTGCTGTTATATTTTCTGGAAACTACAGATACAATGCACCAGAGCGCCTTCCTCCTATGTCCCAGGTGCTTCCCAAGCTTGCTTTGGAACAGCAATGGGGAGCCAAGCCTAGTGAGCGGGCTGCACTCCTGAAGCGCTGGGAGGAATGGGGAGGAGGAATGGGGAGGCTCCAGTGCCACAGTGTGTGAGAGGTGTTGGGGAAGGAGGTAGAGAAGGGGTGCACTGGCCACAAGTGGAACTCTAGTTGGCTGCAGGTTGCCCACCACTGGATTTCAATCGTGTGGCCCACTGAGATGAAGCAAGGCCCACTCACAAGGCTTAGTTGCCCACTGCTGTTCTAAAGCAAGTGTGGGAAGCAACTGGGATATGTGAGGAAGGCACTATGGTCCTTTGTATCTGTAGTTTCCAGGAGAGCCACAGAGAAGTGCCTGCTTGATACCTACTAGGCTGTGGTCCCTGATAAAAGGGGCTGAGACGATGCAGTCAAGGAGAAAGGAGGAGGGCAGAAGATGGTTGGTACCATCTTCTCTGCACCTCACCACACTGGAGCAAGTCCTGTGCAGACTGTGGCTTGTCCCTGAGGCCAGGGATTAGACTTCAGGGCTGCAGTTGGCCACGGTGTCAGGTGTAAAGACCGAGGACTGCCAATACCCTGGGAAAGGGGTGAGAGTGGAGCGGTGGGCACTGCCGAAGGGCAGTGTCCTGAAGAGGAAGCCACAGTCCAAGGAGAGAGGCTGGTCCGGAGTCAGAGAGTGAAGGCAAGGAGAGCAGAGTGATGCCAGACAGCAGGTGGTACAATCAACAGAGCTAATTCCTGGACTACCCAGCAGTAGGTGACATGGTGGTGAGTTGACCCTGTTACGCTGGCCAACATTTTCTGTTGAAACTGGGTTTTTTTAGGGCATATCCTGTCAGTTTGTGGAAGTCCAGAGAGCTTTCCAGTGTACAGCTGGTAGCAGAAAGTCTGGAAGTAGTGAGAACAGTCCCTATTTGCAAGCACAACATTGCCTAATTTGGGATCACAAAGCGGGAAAAAAAGCTAGTACTTCCAATGGTTGTCTGTCTGACTAGAACATGTTGGGTCTACAACACCAAGCCAGAAATAGCATACGAGTATAATTTCTCCTGATAGGCCAGTGCTTCCTGTTCCAGAACTCTTTTTGGACCAGGAATAGCCAAGGAGTATTAATATGGCAACAACAACATGCATCTGGGACTCTGAGATGCTGATGGGTGTATCTGAGATGAGCCACTTGTCTTTAATTAATATACGTCCACATTATCAGGCGAGTTTTTAAAAAATGCATTTTAAGTAAATATAAATGGGCTATTGTCTGCATTTTATGCACCAACAGTGCCATCTAGGGGTTTCTAATGTCAATTGCAGGTGATCAACAGCAATTTTTTTTTTTTTTTTTTTTTTTTTTTTTTTGGAAAAAAAGAGACCCTTCCTTCCTTCCTTCCTTCCTTCCTTCCTTCCTTCCTTCAGTGTTGTATGTTCTCAATGGCTTATCATAAGTGTTAAAGCAGAGTTCCCAGCTGTCTCTGTGAAACCATTTTACACTTGTATGTAGTAAAAAAAAGAGCAATTGCATCATGCTTCTTCAGAGTAGTGTTTGTTTTTAAACCCTCAGATGCTGGAATCAAGAGAGTGCAAGAGAATCTCAGCTTTCATTTAAGTGTCTAGCCTTCATAGGTTCTGAGAGAAGAAAGCTCAGAAACCAGAAGACAAGTAAACAATATATATAATCTCATGCCTCTTAAAATAATCTTGTGGTTCTGAGGGCCTGATGTAATCCACTATGGGTATGTCCTCACAGCAGAGTTATGGCAGAATAGCTAACGCTATTCCAAAATAACATAGTCCGCAGTTATTTCAGAATAATGACAAAATAATGTCCAGTTGAAATAAGCTATTTCAATTTACGCTACGCAATTGAAGTAGCTCAAGTTGTGTAGCTAATTATGGATTTAGTCCTGCTGTGTAGACATGCGCTATGAGACTCATAGAATCCTAGAGCTGGAAGAGACCTCAGGAGGTCATTGAGTCCAACCCTCTGCCAAAACAGGACCAACCCCAACGAACTCAACCCAGCCAGGGCTTTGTCAAGCCGAGACTTAAACACCTCTAGGGATGGAGATTCCACCACCTCCCTAGGGAACCCATTCCAGTGCTTCACCACCCTCCTAGTGAAATAGATTTTCCTAATATCCAACCTAGACCTCCCGCACTGTAACTTGAGACCATTGCTCCTTGTTCTGCAATCCGTCACTACTGGGAACAGCCTTTCTCCATCCTCTTTGGAACCTCCCTTCAGGAAGCTGAAGGCTGCTATCAAATCCCCCCTCCCTCTTCTCTTCTGCAGACTAAATAAGCCCAAATCCCTCAGCCTCTCCTCATAGGTCACATGCTCCAGCCCCCGAATCATTTTAGTTGCCCTCCTCTCCAATGGGTCCACATCCTTTCTATAGTGGGGGCCCAGAACTGAACACGGTACTCCAGATGTGGCCTCACCAGTGCTGAATAAAGGGGAATAATCATTTCTCTAGATCTGCTGGAAATGCTCCTCCTACACAACAGGCTAAATCTGAAATAAGCTATGCAACTTGAGCTATATCAATTGTATAGCTCAAGTCGAAATAGCTTATTTTGACTTTTGGTGCTCTCTACACAGCAAGAAATCTGAGACAGAACTCTTCCTCTGGCTTTCCTTACTCCTTATGAAATGAGGGTTATAGGAGTCAGAGTAAAAAGTACTTCTGCTGGACATTATATCAAAATAACTGCTTGTGTGTAGACACTGATTATGTTATTTCAGAATAATGTTAGTTATTCTGAAATAATGCTGGTGTGTAGATGTACTCCCATGGTGAAATGATGGTGGTAAGTACATGTGCAGTGCTCAGTTATTTGAGATGTTACTAACTCCCATTACATCCTCTTACCCCAAATCACATTTGCCTTAAATGAAATAAGTTTAATTATTGTTTTAAAAAATAGCCTCTAATTTTTGGACTTTTGGGGGCAAAGAAAGCAGCTAAGGCACAAAATTGTACCATAAGTCCATGTGTAAAACCGTAGGCCTCTCACTACCCATGGCGTCAGTGTGAGAGAGCCCTGCCTGTGCCCCCCAGTGGTCAACACTCTGTCTCCCGCAGCTACTGGGAACACCAGCACTCCCCTCCATGCTTCTGCAGGCCCCGCTCTCTCTTTGCAGGTTAGTGACAGGCAAACACCAATCCCTGCATCCTCTGAGCATCCCTGTGGCGTGTCCAGCCCCTGTTCCTCTGGGCACATCGAGGCACCGGTCTCAAGGGGGTGGTACACACCAGCTTCTGAGTTTCACCTCAGCATCACTGCTCTACTTAAACAAAAAACTGGACAATGTAGCACTTTAAAGACTAACAAGATGGTTTATTAGATGATGAGCTTTCGTGGGTCAGACCCACTTCCTCAAATCAAATAGTGGAAGAAAATTGTCACAGCCATATATACCAAAGGATACAATTAAAAAAAGGATACATTTTTCTAATTGTATCCTTTGGTATATATGGCTGTGACAATTTTCTTCCACTATTTGATTTGAGGAAGTGGGTCTGACCCACGAAAGCTCATCATCTAATAAACCATCTTGTTAGTCTTTAAAGTGCTACATCGTCCTGTTTTTTGTTTCAGCTACACCAGACTAACACGGCTACATTTCTATCGCTCTACTTAACACACTGCACTTAGGCACGTTGTATGCAGGGAAGCCAGACACCCCTTCTGTGAGACCACTCCTGCTGGCAGCTTGTTTCCAAAGACAAGTCCTTTGGTCTTTGACTATAAACAGGGTTCCTTCCCCCACTGATCACCTCTTGCTATTAATTTTTAAGTCCCTGCAATCTCATCATTAGCATTTGCCACAGTATGCAACTAGATCCCCATTGCTAGACATACAACATGCAGTGGTCTGTCAGGGAGATACTGTCCTATGGCATGTCACCTCTGGGTGTCTTTCCCTTAAACTTCAAAGCTTTAAGAACATAATTTCAGATATAAATATATATGTGCACACACATTTCCTTGCCTGTTATCTGTACATGCATTATGCAAGGATTGTGATGATTGTGTGACACAGGCTTTCTGTAGAAATCTCACTCTCCAGTGAATTAGAAAGCAAATACCATACTCTGTGGATCCCTGTAAGTCCTACCTGGACAGTTCTGTGCTAATTGGGTCACAGACTCCCCTTACTTTCTCCTAACTCTTGAAAAGTGGTAGCTTGCATCTATCCAAAGCGTACCTCCCTTTTCATTATCCGATCTCTCTCCCTTCTCCGGCTTCTTCTTTGCCTCCCCTGGTCCCTCATTTTCCATCTGTATGTATTATCCCCATAGTTTTCTTCATTTTGACTTTACCAGAGTCCTGACACTTTTGTTGTCACATCTAACTTCCTGATACCCTGCTCCAATAGTGAATGCTGACATCAGTGCTGATCACAGGCAGAGCTGGTAGAGCTGTCTATTGTTAAGATTGGGCAGTACTTCCCAT